GGGCACAGCAGGATTTCAGTCCTTCACAGCGTAGCGTGTTACCAACTGTTTTTTTGGTGACTATGGTCCCAGCTGCCTTGAGATCATTGACAAGTTCCTCCTGAGTAGTTCTGGGCTGATTCCTCACCGTTCTCATTATCATTGAAACTCCACGAGGTGAGATCTTGCATGGAGCTCCAGACCGAGGGAGATTGGCAGTTAATTTATGTTTCTTCCATTTGCGAATAATCGCACCAACTGTTGTCACCTTCTCACCCAGCTGCTTGGCGATGGTCTTGTAGCCCATTCCAGCCTTGTGTAGGTCCACAATCTTGTCCCTGACATCCTTGGAAAGCTCTTTGGTCTTGGCCATGGTGAAGAGTTTGGAATCTGGACTGATTGATTGCTTCTCTGGACAGGTCTCTTTTATACAGGTAACGAGCTGAGAGGGCTCCCACTGTCAGCTCGTTACCTGTATAAAATACACCTGGGAGCCAGAGATCTTGCTGACTGATAGGGGATCAAATACTTATTTCATTCATGAAAATACAAATTAATGTATAACTTTTTTGTTGTTGTTGTGTCTCTCATTGTTCACATAAACCTACCATTGAAATTGTAGACTGATCATTTCTTTGTTAGTGGGCAAACTTACAAAATCAGCTGGGGTTCAAATAATATTTTTCCCTGACTGTATATTGCAAGCATGTGGTAGCTGCCAATATTACCTGAGGCCATTCCCCTCCAGAGTGGGCTCGGCGTTTAATTTCCTCCACGGTCTTCCTTCTGGAGTCTTGATCTGACCGTGATACAAACACTGGCCTGATGTACTTAATCAAAGCTAGAAACAAAAAGAAAAGAAAGAACAGAGAAAATATGAGTACAGAAAGTTATCCTTTGTTATTTCTCCTGACCAATAGCAACTAAAACATCTCTCAGTTATCTGTATCTACTGTATTTAGTGGTTTAGATGAGCAACTACGACTACCAGGAAGAATTGGGTGTAAAATCTAAAACAATAATTTGCATAAACCCAGACAGACCTTGTCACTGAGATTGGTAATACAGTACATGGCATGTCTGTACTGAATACATACTCTGCAATAAAGACCATAATCATAATTGTCAAACAATCTGATATATTCAGTTGCACAAACACTTCACTATACTGGCTAGAGAAAAGTCAGTCAGGGCTAGAACAGAGCTCCTCTTTAGATCAACTACCACTATTAATGGTGTCCTTTTGCTCAAACATTCCTCTGCAGTAATGCAACATTTGTGTTACTGTAAAACACGGCTGAATAAACCCCCTCTGCTCTAACAGAAACCACCCACTGGTAAGAAAAAGTTGTGTGTGAAGGTATTCTTCACACACAGACAACCTCAGGGGGCAAGCAGCCAGCCTAGCCAAATCATATATAGGAAAACAGCCATCAACAACGTCTTAGTTGGAAGTTACATCTTCTGTATTTTCTCATGGTCATGTGTTCCTTAATGCAGTTTGCATGAGTCAGATGAGTATCACATGTTGATCAAAATACAACAAAGGTCCAGCTTCCCAAATCTGATAACAGGTGTTCTCACTGGGAGGACACTACTTTTGTTAGTTTCATTTCCCATAAACACTAATGTGCATGTGCAGTAGGCCGTGCAATTCAGTAGCAAGCCCAAAACCAAAAAATGTTTTTTTTGGCAAATGCGCCAGGTGAGCGACAGTTGTAAGCCATCTTGTAAGCCGGTATCCAGCTCTAATAATGCATCCATGATCAAACCGTTCACCTCCCTTTACTCCAGCAAAAACATGTGCCTTCTTGAATTCACAGGATGTTTTACTGATAAAATTCAGAAAAGAAGGCAGAACACAAAAACGTTCCACTTTCACCTCTGTCAACAGTGTCAACCCCACAGTCACCAGGAGCATCAGAAATGTCCAAAAAAAAAAAGATATAAAATATAGTACACGATGTGAAGAAATATTAACAAGAATAAATTCCAAAGTGGTGCGAGGACCACAGAAACTCTTGAAGACAGTAGAGAAATGGAGCTGAAGATATGCTACATACAGTCGCCTCTGTTTTGGGGGAGAGAGAGAGAGCAGACGGTAAAGTAGAGTTTGTGGCATCAGTAGGGAAGCTTATACAGGCATTCCTCTGCCCACATTGCCTAGTCCAGCCCCTGACAGCAGCCCGCCAAGCCAACATGGACAGAGGAAAATGACAGTCAACAGGGAACATTTGCAGAGAGTGTCAGGGAGCCAGAGAAGAGGGGATTGGAGATGGAGGGGGAGAGTCCTCTGGATGGGTCTGCACCTCTGTGTCAGAAGATACAAATGTAACTCTGCCCACTGTGCTGAATAAACACTACCAACATTTAGAAATTATAGGCCATATTTTCCTCCTTTTCGTCAGTTGGTGCCACTGGACAGTC